CTTAAGTTTTCACAGGTACTTACATGTATGGTATTCAGCTTTGTTCGGGTATTTTCCCACGTCATTATAGTTGTGCTTTTAAAGTTGTAGCAACGTTTCGGCAGAATCTCATCTGCCATCATCAGGCTTCTGTATTGTGTTCGTCTGACGAACACAATACAGAAGCCTGATGATGGCAGATGAGATTCTGGCAGATGAGATTGTGCCTAAACGTTGCTACAACTTTAAAAGCACAACTACAATGACGTGGGAAAATACCCGAACAAAGCTGAATGCCATACATATATACATATACATATACATATACATATACATGTACATATACATATACATATACATATACATGTACATATACATATACATATACATATACATACATACATACATACATATATATATATATATATATATATATATACACATATACATACATACATATATGTGTGTGTGTGTGTGTGTGTGTGTGTGTGTGTTTGTGCGCGTGCACTATAGGCTGCGAGAGTCACTTTTGTGTGAGATGGGTGGCTAAATAAATAAATAAGTAAATAAACAAGAAGACCTATAGCAACAAAACTGTTGATTTCCATTAGGACAAAATTAAGCCAGTAGAGTTTCTGTTCCGGATACAATTTTGACACTTTGTTTTTTTGTAAATGAGTGCTACATATATTTTTAGTGGTAATGAACAGATGTCGACAATGGCAGTAGGGCTGTTTAAATTGTTTAAGTAAAGTTAGCTGGTAGATAGAGTTAAACTTTTATAATTAAAGAGTATAATTTTTATTGTGGATGTGATATAGTGGTTAAGATTTCAGGTTAGAAACTGGGAGACTAGGAGTTCTAATCCCACATCAGGCACAAAGCCAGCTGGCTGATTTTGGGCCAGTCACTCTCACTCAACTCTAAGAACAAGGGCAAATCACTTCTGAAAATCTTCCCAAGAAAACCGTTGGGAGCCAAGAGTCAACACTAAAAGGCACAAAAAATAAAATAAAAATAAAATAAAGATATGTGGTGATTTTTAATGTTTGTGTGTAATTATAAACTGCAGTTTAGTTTATATTGTGATTGGACCATGCTATGGTGGGGAAGGAAGAATTCATAAAATAACATTTTTGTATATTTCTAGTTAGGTTACTCCCCCCCCCCCCTTAAGAACCTAGGGAACAATATTTTGAAGAATCTAAGGTTAAATTGAATCAGATCTGAAATATGCCTCTGAGCTTATCTAGAAAGGATCTGTTGATTTTGGGCAAATGCCTAAATCTGAGTTGACCATTTTTCCCATGAAGGCCACCGTCACAACATCACTTCACCCCTTTTCGGCCTTGAATAATTGAACAATCCAGAGAAAACTTAAAGAGAGGAGAGAATATGCATAGAAATGGAGGCAGAAGAATAGGCTTGATTAGGAATCTCTGCCCTCGTTCTGGAGATGGACGGAGCTGATGGAGATGTAAACCAATGATATGCCTCCCCCCCTCCCATGTTTGTAAGGTCAAACTGGGCATATGTATACAAATGAAGTGTTCTGCAAATATGTCAGAAGGGAGACAGGCTGCTTTTTGTTTTCACTGCTTTGATAAATATTTATAAGCAGCCACATTAGAGTATATACTTGATCTTTCCTCTTTTTTTTAAAAAAAAAAAGTTGCACATTTGGTAAACCTCTTTTACTTTCTCTATTTAACTTATAAAACAAGGATTCATTTGAAAGCCTGATGTAAGAATCCCTGGAAGAATTTGGAGAAACCAAGAGGGAAGGAATCCAACACTTTCTAGTGCATTTGGAACTTTAAATCATTGCTCTTGCTTTGATGTTACGTGCCATAGAGAGATAGGGATGCATCTTTATCATCAAATGCACAGTTCAATATGAGCCTTTCCTGGCTTTGATGTTTTTATTGGGTCTGTACCATTCTTACTCCTCTTGCTTTTTTGTCTTCAGATGGTTTTTACTTGCTTAGCGATACAATTAGTGGAAAGTGACCCTGTCTCCTCTTACTGACTTCATGCATGTTTATATTGATGGGAAGACAGCCATGGCAAAAACAAGACAACAAAAAGAGGAAGAGCACTTCCATATTTGGTGTTCCAGCTGTTATTTACAGCACACTGTCCAGGGTCATTCCTCTGCTTGGCTGGCAACCATCCAAGCCCATTGTCAGCTTGGTGCACATGTGTCCTGTCACGTGTCTCCTCTGTGCCCCTTAGAAGTAAACATGTAGGAATGCAAACTTTTTTTTTTAAAAAAAGAAGACAGTCACTTCCATAAAAGACAAAAGAAACTAGGTGGGCCGATAAGCGAAAGCTGCTTAAATTACAGGATATACAGTCAGCTCTATTACAGGGTATTTGTACTGTAAAATGTCAACAGAAATACATCCTGTGTTCTGATTAGAGCTTCTGAAACTTTCTCATTCTGTTGCAGTCTTAAGTCTTCAATACACAATTCCCTTGTCTTTGAAGAATGATAGGGTTCATGATATTCTGATGGGGAATGTAGCTTCTTGATCGAGCCAGCACCCTGCCTGCAATTTGAATGTTACCTCCCAGACCTAGCATAGTCATGGCAAAGAACTGTGAGAATCCTAGTTCAGCATGCCTGGAGGTTACCAGATTGTCCACCCCTGCTGTAAATGTTCTGAGCCTTTTTTTACAGTTACAGTTCTCATTATTCTGTACTGAGACTTTTCCAGGTCTGCTCAATTCTATACTCTTCAGAAACTCAGGTGATCACATGACACTGCAACAAAGAGGGAAGGTTGCTTGTATCCTCTTGCTGCCATCTTGTGATCATCCCCATTTTGCAGGGCAAAGTATAGACTTGTGGAGTCTACTACCATCTGAAGAGACATGGGTAGAGAGATGATTAGAAAATCCTGTCTTACAAAGGGAAGATTAGTGGGAGAAGCTTCAAAGTACCAC